TATATATATATATATATACTTATTTTTATTTTATAGGATACATTCTCACGTGCCCAGACATGGGTGAAGGAATTGCAGCGCCAGGCCAGTCCAAGTATAGTAATAGCATTAGCTGGAAACAAGGCAGATTTGGCAAACAAAAGAGTTGTCGAATACGATGAAGCTCAAACGTATGCGGATGAAAATGGCCTTCTCTTTATGGAAACATCTGCTAAAACGGCGATGAACGTCAATGATATATTCCTTGCAATTGGTGAGCTACTTCATTCCTTCTTAACGTCGTGCTTCGTGAAAATAATGTTAACTTTTTTAAATTATAAAGATACCCGTTATTTTCAAGAGTTCTCAACTGAATTATTTGCTTTTTTACTTGTGAAATGTATATTTTATGCTTGACAATATATATGTACGATCGGAAACATTATTCTATCTTAGGTTACACGTTATCGTTAATCACAATGCTCGGTAATTCTATATCCGCTGACAGTATGTCAGTTGAACAGCGAGAAAATCAGTCTTGGCAAGCGTTGATTATATCAAAATACATTTACAGTAGAAAAATAATTTTTCCCTTTTTTACAGCTAAAAAACTTCCGAAAAACGAACAGTCTGGAAGTGCAAGTACGAGTGGTCAAGGCCGTCGATTAGTCGAATCGGATGGGCAAAAGGCAGCAACCGGCAATTGCTGCAAGTGATTATCTAAATCCGTATGTGTCTCACAATATATTCGTATATCTATTTTTACATTATTTGAATATACTATCTTTAAAATTAAATTAAAATGAGAGAGAGAGAGAGAGAGAGAGAGAGAGAGAGAGAGAGAGAAAGAGAGAAACATTTATTCCATTCTGAAAAGCCCAGAAAATATTTGATATGCCTAATGAATATGTTATGAATCAAACACGTTCAGTGTAATAACATGTTCACATATTTTTATAATATTAAATATATACGAAGAAATGAAAGAGCGATCCAACAAAAAGAAAAGAAAAAGGGAACGGGGAAATATCAATCTAATATTGTGTAGTATAGACATTTGCACTTTATAATGCTTTTAGCGGATTTTTGCATTAGTGTCATAAATAATGGGGATATATAATTTGAGTAGTTGTACACAGTTCAATAGATTATATTTCTTGTTATGTTTAATATTTTTTATAGCATATATTCAACTCGGCTCTTTTGCCTTCTTTATATTTATTGAAATATAAAGGAAATAAACCGAAATGGCAGACTGGAAGTAAAACAAGGTGAAAAGCGCGGATTGAAAGTAAGATCTAATAATTAATAGTGTATCGCGACGCGCAATAACATAATCAATTCTGCACGAACAAAAGAAATAAAGAAACAAGGACATATATTAATATGCAATATTATCGAGGAATGACGTGCGTTAGTATATAGTAATTCATGTACAATATTTAGCTAAGCATTGGCAGTCTCTTGTAATTAAAAAATGGTTCACGTAAAGCGTATATAAAATGGAAACAATTTTTAAATTTATATTTCCATCTCAATGATGTATCTACGTTTATTTGTTCTGGAATTTCCCTTTATATATATCTGTTTGAACTCGTCTAATATATTAACTTTTAATATAGCAACTCTTCATATACAATTAAATGATTTTTTGCAATAATTAAGTCTGTAGCAATATTGTATTATTTCTTTGATTTGCTGCATTCAATGATATTCTGCAGTATCGCTATTATAAATCGTCCCTTTGCTCCTCGAGTAGCAATCCTCTCGTATTCTTCTAGTATATTTGTACTAGATTTAAACAATATTAACGTGTGTATTACTGCGACAGCTTTGTTAAAATCAAAGTTTATTATTTGTGCATAAAAACTGTAGTCCATGTGATATAATGTGTCTAAAAGCATATTACTTTTCTTCTAGTATTCTCTCTCCTATTTTATTGTACATTTATTAACGATTAATAGATGCATTATTCGAAGATTCGAGATGAAAAGAAAATGATTTAAGCACTAAATATGCCTTAATTGTAGGCGTATCGTAGTGTTTACACATACGTAATACTACACAAATATGTTTGTAGATATTATAAACTTGTAAAAATTGTCTTCTTTTTCAATGGACTATCGTTTCCGACTGATAAAGGTGCTATATGAGAATACATGTGCATGATGCATTATGCAAGCTTGTGAAAATGTTTCTTGTGATTTATGGTAATACTCCCCATCCTGTGTGCAATAATTATTATCTTTGGATTATATTTGAAAAGTATGTTATAAGTCATATAACAATAAGAAAAGAAGTAAAGTTATTTAAAATTACTACAAGAAAATTCTCAGGGTATAATCTTTCTCTTCGAGATATATATATATATATATATATATATATATATATATATATATATATATATGTATGTATGTATATATATCTCTGATGTATCATTATATTTTAGTTATATACAGGGTGTTCGGAAAGTACCGGGACGCCCGAATATCAGGAAAAATATAAGTTTTACAAAAAAAATGTTTCAGACAAAAGTTGTGGCGTTTAAAAAGATGTATTTACTGATCACATCAGTTTGACCTTGGGTTGCGTAGCGAAGGTCAAGTCAAAGTCACATTAATTTTTTTAAATGGAACACCCCATTTTTCATTGCATATTCTTATAGCACATCTCGAGAGCTTTTCAAAATACTATAATAAAATATTTTTTCGTTAAGAACTTTTCGAGTAATAACACTTGAAATTTCCAGCACTTTGACATAGAATACAAAATATCTCGTAAAATATTC